TCTATCTATCTATCTATCTATCTATCTATCTATCTATCTATCTATCTATCTATCTATCTATCTATCTATCTATCTATCTTGGTTACAGTTCTGTATATAGACATGATTAGACAGACATTTATAAAGGTAAATTGTGCTATTCAATTGACAGGAGCAGAGCACTTTCCTCCTGTTCCTATCAGTAGAGACAAATGCACAAATCTTTCTCCTAACAGTCAAGGGACTTCAGCTCCTATCATCAGCAAATCCTGTATTTGAAAGGATGGTGACAAAACAATCTTTTTTTTCCAATCACCAAATAATGCAAGAAACTTGCAATTAATTAGGGTTAAAAAAAAAAAAAGGTCCAGCTTCTGAAGATCTTGATGTTTAGTAAAGAATGGAGGTACTAATTCCGGATCAGGAGCCGTGGCGGTGCAGTGATTAGAATGCAGTATTGCAGGCTAATTTTGCTCACTGCCAGGAGTTCGATATTCACTGGCTCAAGGTTGACTCAGCCTTCCATCCTTCCAAGGTTGGTGAAATGAGGACCCAGATTGTTGGGGGCAATATACTGACTTTGTAAATTAAATAATGCAAAAGACTACAATTATATACTGGTCTGAGTGCCTTTGTAAAGCACTGTGAAGCAGTATATAAGTGTAAGTGCTATTGCTTTGAGCCTCTGCGTGTTCCATTGTTTCAATTATTTGTCTACCATATGGAAACAGTCTCTGTTCAAAGGGGATCTTATGGTATCTTCCTTCAATAACTGCTTTGGGGAGGGGGTTGAATCTGGCCAAGGATAAAGCCGGAATAATTTTGGAATTTGTATGTGAAAAGGATTTAATTGACAGCATCTAATTGAATGCACCACGTTGCCTTCGCTGTTAAAAGTAAGACAGAAATGATGGTCATGGTGGGACTTCTACTACTTAAAATAACAGCGTGGATTCATATGATATAATTGTCAGGTTAGAGTTTGTTGGGTAAAATATGGCCCTCGTGCCTCAGGGGAAATGGATTAAAAATCACAATATTGCCTCCCATGCCCACGATAGACATTTCTCCTTTGTCAGCCTTGCTATAAACCTTTCGCTTGCCATTCCAAGCAAGCAAGCTAGGACCGTCTCAAGGATGAAGGAATATATCTGACCTTTGATTTTTGTCTCTTTTTCCCTTGATCCTAGGGGAGCGACCATACAAATGTCAAACCTGCGAACGGACCTTTACGTTGAAACACAGCCTGGTTCGTCACCAGCGCATCCATCAGAAGGTCAAAAGTGCCAAGAATCACGAGAAGGACAGCGACAGGGAGGACACCCGTTCACGAGGGGAAGAAGACAGTGAGAACGAGTCCCTCCCCAGCAGCACAAACCCCATCTCGGAAAATGAGGGCGATGCCCTCGTGGGGCCCGGAAGCCATTCTCCGGTGACCAGGAGCCGCAGAGAAAGCTCGGCCAATGCCACCAAGGATTACTCTTGTAAGGAAGACAAGCCAGCTGGGAAAGCCTCAAGTTTAGGCCTTGCCGAACCAAGCAAGACCATGCCGAAATCATCCGTGAAAGAGCAGGAGTCTCGAGGAAAGGCCGATCGGGAGAGCTCCTCTGACTTCATTCAGGACTTGCTGGAGATCCAGAACAAGAAATCCTCCATGAGTCACATCCTCGCCTCTGCAGAGAATGGGCCTCAGCTCTTGGAAGTTGAATGACAGCTATGGCTTCAGCGGCACCCCAGCAACCTGATCCAGGACACAGGATTAAAGTGGACAACAGGGCAAGCTTTCCTTTGCTGCCGAGTCAACCTCTGCTGTGGTGACCCAGGAGTGGGCGATGGGTGGATGGGATAGGGGGAGGATGATGTATGGCGGTCTGGATTAGTGCCATAAACCCTTCAGTATAAATAATGCAAAAGACTACAATTATATACTGGTCTGAGTGCCTTACTACTTTATTAGGTCTTTTGGTATCGTAGATATTTTTTAAAGCAAATTAGATGATTTTTTTAAAAAACAAAAAAATATTTTAATTATTTGGAGAGGACCTTTTTCATTTAAGCATTAATGTTACCTTCTTTTTTTTAAAAAAAAAAAAATCGGGTGTGTGAGTTTGTTCTTGTATATCTGTGATAGCCGCTTTTGTGTATTCTCGGAGCTGGAAACTGGGGGGGGGGGGTGTCAGTGGTGCAAAGAAAGCCCTAAAACACTGCAGCCAGTAACTGGAAGAAAAATTTTAAAATCCCAAGCAGAAGAAGTAGATATAAAAGGTTAACTTGTTTTTGGTTTGTCTTTTCAGACTTTTTTTAATCACATGAGGGAGATTTAAAGCAGTTCGATATATTAATATAAATCAAGGTTTTCAAGCTTGGTTCAAGCTAAAAGCAGGAAGCCACAATTACTGTTATCTTCATTATTTCTTCTATTTCTCCTCCTCCTCCTCCTCCTCTTCACATGATCACTGATGGCATTCTAGCTATTGTCATTTTGTATAAGGCCCTTTCTGACCATTGTGGACTTAAAGAGTATACAGAAAGGGTGGCATAGTGACTTAAAAAAAACCTATGGAAAATATGCACCCACTGTTTATATGTGTATGCGTGTGTATACATACACATATATATGCATACAGTTTGTGTGTGTGTGTGTATAAATGTTTGATTTGTGTTTCAATATATTATTGTTTTAATATTTTATAAAAGTTGTTAGTTTGCTAATCTCTGCATTCTGCAGAAACCAATGGACAATATTTGTCCACGGAGATCTACAACACAGCTCAGATTGCCTGCTTAGATATTTCTGCTTAATCTCTCACTGATGTTTCTTCTTTTGGGTTTGACACTCTTTTAATATACATTATATTCATAGAAACCTCTTAGCATCAAATGAAAACAGTGAAAGCCCCATTCACAGATCAATCCAGGTGGACATAGCATAAATTTACACGGAGGGAATAGAAAGAGTGAATACTATAGAGCAGTGATCTGTCCCCAGTTCCTCTGTTTTCATACTGATAAATGAATTCAGGAAAACAAGAGTCTCTACTGGAATGGAAAGTTCATGCCACAGAGGGTTGTCCCTATGTCTTTTTCCCCACACAACCAATTGAATGCATGTAGCATATGTAAGTTGCTACAGTATGTCCACTTCTGTTTCCCCATCCAATCATACCTATGCCTTCAATTTCTCACAAACGATTGTGTCAAATGAACCTCAGCAGATAAGGGGGTTCAGTGTAAGTTAATAAAAGAGAGAGGAGTCAAATAAATTAATGGCAGGCTGGCGTGAAGATAAAATGAGTTGGAAGAAAGCTATTCAGATTCCATGCAAAAGGCACTGCAAATGCTGTGGCATAGTTTGGAATGTGCAGTAGTTGCAGTTTTTTTAAAAAAAATAAATAAATAACTAGGGTGATTTAGTCTTCCAGAAACAATAGAGAAAAACGAAAATTTTCAAAGCCTTAAGTGATCTTACTACCTTGATGTGCTTTAAAGCAAGGAAATAGTCTGCTACTGGCAATAAAGTTTCCAGATGGACAAAAATGCTTATTTCCCAAGGTTTCTAGAGCTTTTCCCAAGGTTTAACTCTGTTCTGAATTGGGAATGGACTATACATTCCTGTTGCAGGCAACAGGAGACAAGACAAGCCCACCAACATTAAGACTGATCCACTGACCCAGTTAAGCTGGTGTGTTAGATTGCAAGATTCATTTTTTACTACTTTGAGGTGAGGGCCATTTGTCTTGGGGCGGGGGGGGGGGGGTAATCTAATTTCAGTGGGATTGCCCTCTATGTATGTGTGACTTGTGTGCATGTGTGCAAATATGGCTGTATTGCTACATTCCTGTATTTCAATTTTAAAGATACATATACAGAATTGGATGTGAACAAGGCAGCTGACAATTTCACTTGTAGTTCTGTTGCTACTAATGTGTGAAAGAAGCTTGTCTTTTGGGATGACTATATTAATTCTGTACCCTCATCTTAAAGATGGAGGAAATTTACAATTATTTTCCAGGTCTGCATGGTTGTGAACCCAGTTCTCAAATCAATCTGTTTTCTCTTCAAGGAGCCCTTGGGCAAGAGACAATACGTCTGTGTGTGACTGATGATCTTTTTATAAGTAACCCTGCATATGTGGGAATCTGCTGAAGTTTGCCTGGCGTCGCCATACTCTGATTCAGACTGAGTCGTGGGTCAGGAATGACCATTTACTTAGTTGTGGGGCATATATATAGTAGGGCAAAGGCATAGTATTTTTGGGATTTTTTTTTCTGTTCTTCTTTCACATTGAACCTCTTTTTTCACATTATTATTATTATTATTTCCTGCCCTCTAACTTAAAATCATTAATCCAGGGTGGAAAAAACAGTGGAGTTCCAGATTAATTTGGCTTATAAACACCTAGCATTCTTAATTAGTGGCTGTTGTAACTTGGAACATTAATTTAACAAGTTCTGGAAAACCAAATTTGCTCCAGCTTGCCCTAAAATGATACTCTGTGCAAATAGCATTGAAGGCAAATCAGAAACAAGTTGATGTTATATAGAAATAAAGTAATATATCCTGAATTCTCGGTTCAAAATTGGGAGTATTCTACCCCATCTATTTCATGTTCATTTTTTTTTTTTTTTTAGAGATTCAGCTCAGACTGCATGGGAAGAGTGATGAGATCATTTTGGGGCGATAGTATTTCATATAGAATGTGAAGCATGGATTCCATTGTTATAGAGGGTGTGTAAAACAGTTTGGAAACAATCCTCTGGGTTATTGAAAATAAATATCAATTGTTTCTTTTAGAGTATAAAATCCTTTGCTAAATGATGCTTTCCATCAAAGTCAATTTCAGCATCCCTTAATATAAATTGCTATTATATTATTATAATTATTATTATAATTATTATTATTGTTATTTGGGAATATTTTGTTATTAATTTGAGGGGTATTTTTTTTTTTTTTTTTGCAGCTCTCCACACTAAACTGCGCGATACTGTGGGGAGAGAAGCCATTAGCTAAATCAGAGTGTCAGAACTACCCTCAGATTGAATGGGTCATTCTAAAGACCCGTTTAATCTCTTGGCCTTTGTGGTTTTTTGGGGTGGGGGGCGGGGGCGTGCAAGTCTGACAGATCTGAACAAAACTTTATGCTGCAGAAATAATGTAGCAAATAATATCCCAGCACCCTGCCGGGACATCTGCTAGCAATAATCACTATTGATTTAAAGCTTTATTTAGTCTCTATGTATATCGTAGTTTATTATAAAATCTTGCCACATTTTACTGGTGTTTTTATTAGTTGTATTTGATGGAAGAAAAAAAAATTGTGTTCCCTTTTGTTGTTTCCCCTCCTCACATTCACAATCCCCCCCCCTTTATATTAAAACTGTGAACTTTATAATGTGTTTAAACTATGGGTGAATCTTAGGCTTAGTTTGCATGTTGAGCTAGTTCATTTCTCTGCATCTTCATGATTTTTCTTCTCCCTCCCCTTTCCTCTCTCAGGGCTTTTTTTTTTTTTTAAATCTGAAAATCTCTTGTTGGACTTGTAAAGGAGCTAATGGTGAAAATTCAATCACTACAATAAGCACTTGACTGTGAAAGTATAAAAAGAACCAAGAATAAAAACAAACCCTATACGTGCAGCAATATCTGATGTAGAGCTAGCTCTCTTGATGGTTTAATTCCAGCTTCCCCGTGATTTTTAGTTGTTGTTGTTTTCTTCCTACAACCTGATCCTCAAATTTTCCCATCAACTGTAGTCGCTGTTGGAGTACCTCCAAGTCCCAGGATGAACCTGCATGTTGATGCCTGCTGTGTTGGTCGAATGGTTGAATTGTGAAATAATTTGAGAGTAGAGCCAACACTGCCTTAAATCCTCTGGTTTCTCAAAGCCATTAAGTCGGTGAAAAGATCCAGAAAAGAAGTCAGGGCAATGAGCTTGCATGAAATGATAAATCCCTTACCTCTGTATCCTTCAGCCCAAGGCGACACTATCATGAGTTTGAGGAGGTAACTCATCAGTTGAGGATTCTCCCTTCTGGTAATGCAAGTTTGGTTGGTATTGATGGGATGGAAAGGGGGGAGGAGTTCTCTCTCCTCACCATTCTCTCTTCACTTAAGACGGATGTTTTAATTCTAAAAGTTTCAGCCCATGCAAGGAGATAATTAGTGTGTACAATTTATATATAGAAATATAGATATATATATATATATTTTCGAAAGGGAACGTTTAAAAACTGCTGCTACAAGTTGTGTACAAGACTGATTTATGCCACATGAACAGAGAATCACACTATTTCTTTGGGTACTTCTATTCTTCTCATTCAGTTGTATGTTACTTCCAGATTCAAAAGTGATGAAAATAATGCTGTTCTGTATCAAACGATCTACGCAATAAAAGGTTATATTTAAAAAGAAAATTGTACCTTTGGAAGTTGCAAAACAATTACCTTTTCGTGCATTTGGGAGTCTTTAATATGCTTTTGTGTATTTTCAGCTGGGATTATTTTCAAAAAACAAGACAGAGAATAGTCCCAATGAACTCATACTTGTTATACTTGCTCTTTCTCCTCACGAGTTACTTTGTCTCCCTCCAAAGATTTGTATTTAATAATAAGCTAAACTGTTTTTCTGCTTTCATATTTGCCCACGCTTAGTGCAAATAGTTACCTTGCTAGTGCAAATGCTTATAAAGGGGGAAGATTTTTAATTTTTGAATTGAAGCATACATTACAGAGGGTATATACACTGGATATAACTCCTTTCCAAAGGTGGGGGTGTGGGAAGTACAATAACACTTCGTAAATGGGAACATGACCCAATGTAATATCTGCATCTCTCAGAGCTTAAGGGAAGGTGGATTGTACGTATCATTTTGATATTGTAGCTGTGTTTCACCACTGGGTGGCACAGTTGTAAGAACGTGGAACCCTGGAGAGAGATTAGAAGCATCAATCTCGGAGTGATTACTTTTCTTTTAAGATCTAATGACCGAGTAAAATACTTGCAGCATTCCCTAAGCCAGATTCATTTCAGCATGCGCGAGAGAGACAAATGGGCAGATTTCCCTACTCAAAATGATTTGACACAAACAGGCAGGAGTGTTTTATTAGACATATGTTCCTAATCATTCCTGTGATGGGGAGCTGCCCTGAGCTTCAATGCTGATGGAAAAGGAATATTTGAAAGCTGCAGCGTGGGGAGATAAACAAGAAGACCCCAAAAGAAAGAAAAAAAAAGATGGGACATCTAGTACACGTATACTTTAATCTAGATGAAAAAGCAGGCTGGGGAGAAAATTGGGAATTTGAAGTCTTCGAGTCTTAATTTGATAATGATGATGAATGTGTTATTGTTCCTAAGAGAGGTAATTATAGAAGGAAATCCTCACTTCTGAATGAATGCTTTATTTCAAAAAAACTAGCATACCCTGTTATGAAAAATTGCACAGCGTATTTTTCATTTTTCCAAATTTACCATTGAGTTTGAATTTAGCAAAGCAATGTGTATCACGGCAATTTTTAGGACATTTCTAAGAGTATTTTGAAAATATCACTAACCCCTCTAACGGAGTAGATAAATAATTTTTTGTGAGGACATTGTGGTTGTATTTTAGAGGAAACTGACTTGCTGCATAAAAGATTTCCATGAACTTTAATTTCTGGTCATTTAGATGCTGTTGTCCACAAGCTTTTAATCCCAGTTCCAACATTCCTACAATTTTTGTTAAAGAGCATATAGAAGGAAGTGAGAAGGCACTTGCAGGGCCAAGAGCATCGCAGATGACACTTCAAATCAGTGGTGGAATTCAATTTTTTTTACTACCGGTTCTGTGGGTGTGGCTTATTTGGTGGGTGTGGCTTGTGGTCATGTGACTGGGTGTGGCTTTGTCATGTGACTGGGTGGGCGTGGCCAACTCAATGTCACTCACATAAAGGGGTGCCTCACCTGGCCCCTCCCCTCCCAGCCATTCCTTGTCACCCAGCCTCAACTTATCTATAGTTCTGTAAAAATGTTGCTCACCTTTTTTGACTTTATTATCTGCATACTATAGATGTACTTTCATGGACCACTGAAAGGAGGAAATGGCTCACGTGCTTTACCCAAGAGTGTGATAGGCAACAGGCTTTTAAGGGGCTGCCACAAAGAAAGGGGGACAATGTATTTTCCAAAGAGCAGAATGCAAACAAGAAGCAATGGATGGAAACTGAACAGAGAGAAGCAAACTAAAACTAAGGAGAAACTTCCTGTGAGTGAGAACAATTAACCAGTGGAACTGCCTGTCTCCAGAAGTCCTGGGTGCTCAATCACTGGAAGTTTTTAAGAAAAGACTGGACAGCCATTTCTCTGAAATGGTATAGGGTTCACCCCAAGGTCCCTTCTAAGTATTATTCTGACACCTTTTCCAGGATTTCTACTCAGAGTTTGGCATCCTCAGTTTTCTTGCCTGAGCTGGGGGGTTGGGCTAGAAGACCTCCACGGTCCCTTTCAACTCTTGTTAAACACATGCGTATTTTATGCTCTGGACTATTGACATTGAATGCATGTAAACCCTGAAAAATATGTGGTAGCCCTGGGCAAAAGAAAGGCAGAAAAATCACTCTAGGTGTAGGGACAGTGTACAATATTAACACCTGATAAATAATGGAACAATTAAAAATAATAGCATAGTCCGAATAGGTGCGAACCAGTCGAATGGCACTTCTGCTTCAAATGCTTCCAACAACTGCATTCTCTTGCTTTTCTTATGAGTATTAACATTCAGCCAGACAAAAAGTTTGGTTGTCAGTTCTATCAACAACCCTGGCCCCAAGTTTATAAATCCTGGTTTATGGTGCTCTCTCTTCTGGTTTCTCTTAAGAGAACACAGTCCCACGGAATCAGTGTTGAGTTCCCATCAAACTCCAAAGCCTGGTTAAATTGCTCAAGCAGCCCTCATTCTGCCTGGAGCAGAATTTTAATTTTTAACATTGCTTCTGATCATAATAGGTACACGTAGATTGCAAAATAAATCCCCATTTCACAAATCTCCAACACCCACTGCCTCTTGTGTCATTTGCTGGGATGCATTGTTCCCATAGTTGGCATGCTCGCTCTCTTCAAGGTCTCTGGAGCCTATCATGGATTTCCTGATAGGTTCAGCGTGTTACAGGATTCTAGGATATTGGAGGAGGGCAGCGGAGGGGTAGAAATGGATGTGTGACTTCAGAACATTCCCCGCCCAATTTGCTTTTTTGTACTTTTGATTTGATTTCCAAAGAGAGTATTTCTATCCTGTTAAAAACAAATGGCCCATGAGTCATTAACCCTAAAATAAGTTTTACATTTTTTTAAAAAAAATCCACCCAATAGTTGAATTAAAAAATGAAAAGTATTAGCTTTGCAAAATGAAATAAGATCAGGTGTTTGGGTTTTTTTTTTGAACCGTTGTGTTTTTGCTGGGTCTTGTCAGACATACAATCTAGGAGATGACCAGGCTGAGCCCAACTGCATCATGAATCACGAATGTCTTTGCGCCTACTGGGAATCTTAAGTGCAGCCTGCCCTGAATTGCTGTGACTCTTAACCTATTGCCAACTTGCTTGGACCATTAGTAGTTCAGATTCTTGTAGAGAATGTAGGCTTGCAATAAATCCTTACACTCATTTGAACTGCCTGCATGTATCTCCTGATTTGCCGGCACTTCACAATGACCTCCCATCCTCAAACACCAGAGGATGGCTCAACCTGTTGCAAGAAAGTATACTATACTGTATATTTTAAAATTGAATATAGTACATGCGATTCCAGCTATTGTTTGAGACTGACACTAGTTCTGCCACTAGGTTCCATAATATAATATAGACTCGGGAAAAAAAATTGAAATATCCCTCACCTTCCAAAATAAAATTTTATGGACATAATATAACATCTCTAGCTCTCTTCTGTGAGAGCTTAAAGGAAGATCGACTCTATAGTGTAGCATTCTGACAGACACTGGTTGAAATATAATGAAAGTGTATGTCTCTTCCTTAAGTTTGGGTCTTGGAGGAATGTCGTCAATATTGAAGGTACTGACCTGGCCAGTATTTCATTAATGCCTACAATGATACTGTTAGACTTTGCTCTTACCAAGTTTGTACAAATGGGTTGACATTGCAGAGAACCTTTACTGATTTTGTCCTTGAGGTAAAAATGGTAATATACAATTATTAGGCCTAACCATCATGACTGACAATAAATGGGGATTGAAGTCTTGCAAAAGAGGAGTCCCGGTTGGGGAAGCACATGAGGGAAAGAAACTTGAGGGGTTTGGTAAGCAGCCTCAATGGATTCAAGAGTAAAAAGAAGAATTAAAAATAGTAATCCAACAAAGAATGAACTGCCTGAAATACAGTGAGTGGATAATAAAATGTGCTATATTAACATATCGCTTGGGAAGAGTCAATTTGGTTAAATGAATAAGACAACAAGCTAGAAACCAAGAGACCATGATTTCTAACCCTTCCTTTGGTACAAAGCCAACTGGGTGACTTTGGGCCAGCCCCTTTCTCTCAGCCCTAAGGAGCAGGCAAAGGTAAACTTGTGATAAATCTTGCCAAGAAAACGGATTTATCCAGAAAGTTTCCAAGAATTTGTCATGATTAACTGGAAAGGAAAATAATAATAATTTGGGAAATCAATGAGTAAAGGGCAATTCAGAACAAACTTCTAAGTCAACAACTAAATAAATGGAAGGTCAGATGGGTGATAAAAGAAGCATGTGGTTAAACAATAGAAAGTTATTTTGGATCCTGGGAAAATCAGTGTTTTTCTTGTTCTCATGGGTTGCTTATATTGAACAGGTTTGTAAAAGTTACTACATCCTTTGCTTTAGTGGTTCTTCAGAACATGAACCAGAACAAAGATCTTTGTGACCTTTGAAAATCAGCTATTATTGAGGGGAATCATATAATCCTATACCTGTAATTTCCTGGGAGGCCAATAGCTGGGTCTTTATTGTAATCACCCTTATCTATATTAATGGGATAGTTGGCCTGGCTAATACCTTTGGGATTGGTAATATCAGGAGTGTGAAAACAGCCTGAGAAGAGGGAAAGGTAATATCCATTGCAGCTTATATTTTGCAGCTTATATTTTTAGGGTATATAAATTTTCCAAACTTCCTCCTCCCCAATTATCTGAGTATTTCCATTTGCAGTATAAATTTAGTATTTGTTTGCCTACATGAAATATGAGCATAGCATCTCTAAATATCTCTATGTAGGCAGATCATAAGCTAGACTGATTGTACCGTAACTCCCCTTTTTAAGCATATGACTCTTCTTTGAAACTTATCCAGTTTCAGTTCCTATTATCTTCCAGATTTTGTATCAAGAATTAATGTGACTGACTGCAGTGCAGTGCGTGTAAGTGTACATCACGTTCATGAGGAA